TAAAGTGATTGTTCCGATGATCAGTCATCGAGTGACTGATTTTATACTATATGAAATCTATCCAAACAAACCAACTCCGAAACCAAGGAAGAAGAATATGCAAGAAGCAGTTCTATAGTGCCATTAGGAGAAAGGAAGAAGGTCGATAGGCCAAGGAAGAATAAGGAGGATGGGGAACAGGGGAGCAGTACCTCAGTGAAGAGGAAGGTGGTGGATGGAGAACAAAAGACTTCTTCTGTATGTTGGTTTTGAGTATATACATTGCACTTAGTTAGAATAGTTCATGGATGTATAGAGTCTTGACTAAAATATGCTTTGCTTTCCTGTTAATTTATAGGTGCCAATAGAAGAGTAACAACTGAACGATGTGGCAAGGGAAGATCATTGATGAAGTAAATAAATTAATATAAGAGACTAAAATTAGTACTTTCACTCTTGAGCAGACTATTAGAATTAACTTCTTTTACCTTGTTGTATATATGGTGAAGTAACATATTTAACCTTATTATGTAATATGTAAAACAATGAACGACATAAACCATTTATCAGTCTTCCTTAGCCAACCTTTTTTTGTATATTTTATATGGTTTTCTTGTCAACGTATCCGTTTTGGCTGTTTACATAATAATGACAATGGAAAATAAATATGAATAAACATAAAGTCAAGAAGTATGATAGGTACTGTTTTATTTTCTATGACTGATTAAATTAATGGTAAATTGTCATGGAGATGTAAAAGCTCATCATACTTTAAAAAAATATTAGAAAAATTAGATATGTAGCAAAAAAAATTATTTTCATCAAAAAATTCAATGTTAGAAATTATTTTTTAGCTATGTACCACTTTTTTATCATTTATTTTCATAAAAAAAGCTATGAATTCTCAAATGGACAACTTTCTTAACATTTATAGCAAACCTTTTATTAATCACATTAAACTTAATTCCATGTACTATGCTGTGATTTCATAATATTGCATATTGAGATATTTTATCTCATCCCCCTATCATTGTCCAGATATTGAAGATACCGCTGCAGAGTGAGTAGCTATACGAAAAAAATTTATGAAGTCTAGTCTCTGATATTAAGGTTACTGTTTCGTATTTTTATTTAATAATGTAAGTAAAGAAATTTAGAGCTTCGTACATATGTTTATGTTTTATATTTAAGGGATGTAACGCTTATGCGACTCTTTATTATTAATAAAATTAATTTATTTTACTTAACTTGAGTCTATATGATTTAAGGAAGTATACTTCGATCATTAGACGGGGTGTGGTCCGTGACAGGTGGTATCAGAGCACTATTCTAGGACATCCCTTGAATACGAGTCTGAGGTTCGCATAAGACTTAGATAGAGTTGGGAAACATAAGGAAATGTCTCTAAATTTAAATTTCATGAATGTAGGAAATGACAAGGATACCGAGAGAGGAGACACATTGGATTCCGGAAGACCGGATCGAGTAGAGTCTAGATAGACTCATGCATATAGTCGAAGGCTACGCCACGGTGGTAACTCAATACGTAGTCCATAGCCAAAGTGCTACAAACAGTAACAATACTAGTACCAATAACACATAGCCGATGGAGAAAAATAATGAAAAACTCATTGAAAGATTTAAAAGAATGAACCCGCCATCATTTACTAGAGCAACCTACCTGATATTAGCCGAACAATGGATCATGGAGTTAGAGAAGATATTTGATGTTCTCAGCGCCACTTTAGAGTAAAAGGTACAATTAGCCACATTCATGTTCAAGGGAGCTGCAGAACACTGGCGGCGCCTGAAGAAGGGATCACTGATGACACCGATCCTTTGGGAAGTATTTGGAGCGGCATTCTACGAGAAGTATTTCCCTAACTTTGTTTGAGAACAGAAGCAAATGGAGTTCCTAGGATTAAAGCAATGAAATATGAGGGTGGTAGAATATGCAGAAAAGTTTATAGAGCTCGCTCGGTTCGCGCCCAACTTAGTAGCAGATGGAAGCCTAGGAGCCAGGAAGTTTTAGAGAGGTCTGCGTAAAGAGATATGGGATAAAATCTCCGTTCTAAAAATTAATGACTATCAAGAAGCACTAGAATGAGCCCAGATTGCAGAAGAGGCTACAATCCCAATCTCACAACAGATCCGTTTAGACCATTCATACCAAACAATAAGAGGAACGTCAATGAGCCACAACAACTAGATAAAAGGAAGAAAACATATCTCTTAGTCCTAGCACAAGGGCCAGAACAAAAAAATATATAAATATCTACCCAATATCTCAATAATGCGAACATGCCTTGCATACCTTTAAATGTAAGAAACTAAAAAATAAATATTGTATAGTCATTTTAGGTTAATTAAACATTGAGGTTTTCTTTTATTTTTTTTAGATTTCGAAAAACAAACATATTAAGAGTTAAATCTTTATAATTTTTTTTTATTTTTAATAAGAATTTCGTCATAAAGTCTTTCAATCTAATATAGATTTTTGATCAACTCCCCCTTATAGCCCTAAACTTTTCTTCTGTTTTATTTTTCTTTTAATCTTAAATATAAAAAAGATCTAGGCATGACCATGTCTATGTGTCTGCTTGTTTTTGCCTCTATACGTATGTACATGCATGTATTTAGATATCCATACATGTTCATGCACATCATATGTTTATTTATTAAAAGTACCAAACTTAAAATCGAATCTTATAATTGACGAGTTAATGAATTATTATATTTGATGAGGTAATTAATAAGAGATTACTAATCACAAATTATATAAATGAATAAACTTTATTTGCTGTTTGTATAGTGATGAAATATTTTCAGCAAATACCGTTGCCTCAACCAGAGAAAATTTTGAAATATAATTGGGTGAGTAGTGTTTAATAAATATTTAAGTTGACATATGATAATGTTACAAGTACAAAAATTAGAATTGTTCAGGAGGAAAAAGGAAATGTAGGGAAGTACAACTTAATGTACAAGTCAAGAGATGGATAAAAAAGCGAGATACAAGAGTTTTTCATGACGATGCCTCAACAGTCAAATAAAGGCGTTGTGATCAATGAAGAAGGTAACAAGGGGACGAATGATGAGGAGGAACATAAGATATAAATTGGTGGTGTTTGTGAAAACAATGGACAACCCCTGGCTCTTCTTCCTTAACTCAACATATGGGTGACAGGAGTCACCATTAACTTCTAATTTGTTGGTTGTTACAATATTTATATATGATGGTAGCCCTTTCTTGCTATAGTTGTAGTCCAGATAATGCAGTTATATTTCAATGTAGTGGTAAAAAACAAAACGATAAATTTTTTAATTTTTATAGTAAACCCTTCAATAATCACATTAAATAAGTATGGAGAGATTGAACTCACTTAATTTAATTCTCCATTATATTAATCATAAATTTTAATGCAATTGAAATTTAAATTTATAAAAGTAATAACAATTTTTTCAAAATAGAAAATAGTTATGTAGTTCGATTATTTTTTTAGTTAGGTATATAAGAGTAAATAAAATATACAAATGTAGAAAATAAGTTTAAATTTTTATATTTTTAGTTAAATTTTAATTCGACCTTCTTAAATAGTAAAAATATTTAAATCTTTTACCATAAATGTCATGGTATTAGTGAAAATAAAATTTTGCAAACCCGTCGTCTTCTCTAAACCGTCTAGCCTTTGGTTCTTTGTTGGATTGTGTATCTGAAATTTGTAAAGATGCTCGAGAGTGTACTGTCAGTAAGAAATTTAACCGTTAAAGAGTTTTTAACAAAACCCATTTGATCTAAAAGAAAATCTTAGAGATTTAAATGATAGAAAATTTTACTAACAAAATCAATATTATCAGCCATAGTTAGGAGACCTTGAGAAAGTGTAAATGAGACTATAGTTGTTCCAGCTACTGGACATTTACTTTGTCTTTTGCGTCCCTGTTGGTTCCCCTACAAAATAATTGACACTGACTACACTATGATCTAAAAAACAAATATGTAAAATAGCATTCATATATAAACATATATATATATAAAGAGAGAGAGAGAGTGAGAGACAGAGATCGTGGAAGTACCATTTGAGTATAATCAAAAGGGTGGATATCTTCTTCATATGGTATTTTGAAAGAAATGGGGATTGCTGGCTCAGCCTCTGCCGCAACGTTTATTCCTTCTGCAGCTAATTGTTTGGCCTCTGCGTCTTGACGGGCTTTCTTCTCTTTCTCTTTTCTTTC